AAGTAGTAAGAAAGACACTAGCAGAGGGACTGTGAACTCAAAACACCTCTCAATATTCAGCAGGGAATTAAATGGCTGATAACAACAGCCCAGAGAAGGCGGCTGGAGAGCCACCTGGAAGCCTCACACTGGTCAGTCCGTTTGCAACTTCCTCTGGTAGGCAAACTGCCAGATGCAGAGAGAGCAAAACACTACAAAGGCTGCTGTTCTCGGTCTAGTCCCAGATAGGAAACAATAGCAAAAGAGAACACAGCAAGGATTATTATTCTGGTAGCTTTTTTTTTTTAATAAGGGAAAGCTGTTTTTATGCTCTACTGAAATTCCCTTCCTGCTCTGAAATTGGTAAGAGGCCCAGCTGCTTTCTTATATTATTCTCTGTGGTGTTTTTCTACAGCAGATTTCCAATTTATTCTTCAGATTGGGAAAAACCTCTTTTTGTATCCCACAGAAGTTTAAAGATACATTTTTATGTTCAGACTCAAAACAGTTGGGGCGCCCAAGTGAGATAGGTCAGTTTTAGGTATGCTGTGAATAAAGCTAAATTTCAGTCACTTATTCAACATTCAACAAAGATCTGAGTTCCTAGTATGTACTGGACTAGGGACTTAGGAAGCTACAAACACAAACACAAACCTACTCTCAAGAAGATTTTTTGCGGGGGAGAAAGGGGAGAAAGACATTGAGGAGGAAAACTGTTTATACTATAGTGTGATGAGGAATGTCACCAATCTCATTTTTAATTCCTTTCTCTCAAGTTTTCTAATGGAAATAGTTGAATTATAAACCCCAATTCCAAGATTTTATTCTCTTAAGCAAATGAGGTGGAAAATTCACTGGTAGAAAGTACTTCAAAATATCCCCTAAGTAAGCTCTCTATAGCCTAAATAAAGATAAGTGTTGAACAATTACCTGGGGATCTGAGAGGATGTACATGGTCCAGTTATTAAAGAATAGGTCTATCTTAATTTCTTGCCCACCCAGCCCCAAATCATGCAGAAACTGCTCAACTCCGATCTTTGTTTTGACAAAATAGTTTCTAATATCTAACCCGAAGGACCACCAAGCCTTGCTATCCAGACACTATGCAGCTAAATCCTACGGCCCACATGGCCTACCATCTACAACCCTCTGCCCCTGATTCCACTGTGTATGCTATCTCATCCTATGGGGACAGGGGCTCATATAAAGCCAAGATAGTCTTACATTTCTATGTGTTATCTTTAGAGCTTAGCACAGTGCTCTGCATATAAAATATAATAAATTCCTTTTCTTTTTCATTCATCAAAATAGTTCCTTAAAAACTAAAAATCTGAGAAAGGCAATAAAGCAGAAGCATATGGACTCAACCTTCTGCAGATTATATTCATTGTGTTTTAATCAAAGAGACAATGATGTGACCTTGAGTTTTTTACAATGCCAATGACCTGAAAATCCTAAATCCAAATCAGTTTACAAATCACTGGACAAAACAATTTGTTTCTGAATATTCAGACACACAATAATCACACCAAAAGTGAAATGTATTCAAATATTAGCTCCCGAAGGAAGAAGGTCAGAAAGTGAAGAATCCCTTTTTTTTTTTTAAGGAGGATTTAATCTAAAAGAACAACAAAAATCCTGAAAGCACAATACACTCTAGTGAAATTCAGACCAACAAAACTACTGGAAACAAAATCACACTTAAAAATCATAAAGTCTTGAACCCAAGCATAGGGAATCATATTAATGGTTATGAATATAGCAAGAAGTGAGAATGTGTGAATTGCACAGAAAGAATACTTTAAAAAAACCAAAAATGGGCATCAATTGGAAAAGCAGAATCTTCAGGATCTTTTAGAATCAGAAGAATTGATACTGAGAAGCAAAGAATGGATAAATTATTTAAGGACTAATCAGAAGGGGCTTCATCTCCATCCCCAAACCATTGACAGATAATCAGTAAAAAACACAACTTTCCTGGAAGCTGACTTATATTTTAGACTGAAGCATGAAATCAGGGCAACTAGCCCACTTTGTGAAGAATGAATTGAGTGATATTGAAGCGAATATAACTGATGCAACCCTTCATAGTTACCAGATGCAATAAAATGGAGTTGAAGAGGTTTAATGCCAGTTTCTAAGCCACTGATTTCCTGAATGTACAATTTCTCTGTGTGAGAAATATGACCAATAATTACAATTCTGAAAGGTAGAGTGAATGCTTTCCAAATTGGGTCATGTGGTAATTCTGGTATGGACTGAAATGAAAGGAAGTTTCCCAGAATTTACAACAGTTGAGAGTAGCCACTAAGCCACATTAGAACAAAGCTACATCGGTGGAGAACTGCTCTGCAGAGATTTATCTACATTAGCACAAAAATAAATGAAAATGAGGTCAGATACAGTCATTGCCAATGAAGGTATTTTATAACCCAGTAACTATAGGTCTCATAATTCAAGCAATACTCAAGTCAATGGCTCTGTTTGATGTCCAAAGTTCTGTATTTTCTGTACTAGGAGTTTGTTTTTCAAGAGTAAACATAACAAAAACAATATATTGACAATGTTAAAAATGATTTTAAAAGAAAATGACATTTTTGATTACATAGCACCTACTATGTGACAGGCACTATGCAGGCTGCTGGACATAGGAAGACAAAACCTTTTAAATCCCTATCATTAAGGAGCTAATGCTATATAGAGGGAGGCAACAAGAACACATGAAATTAACACTACAACAATTACAAAGTAAATAGAAGGTCATTTTGGCAGGGAGGCACTAATTTGTTATTGTTTAGTCGTTTTCCATCGTGTCCGACTCTTCATGACCCCTTTTGGGGTTTTCTTGGCAAAGGTGCTGGAATGGTTTGCCATTTCCTTCTCCAGCTCATTTTAAAGAAGGGGAAGCTGAGGAGAACGGGGTTGAGTGACTTGCCCAGGGTTGCATAGCTAATAAGTGTCTGAGGCCAGGTTTGAATCACCTAGCTGCCCAGAGAAAGACTAATACCTACAGGGAAAATCCTTAGGTAGATGATGACACTAGAGCTAAGCCGGGAAGGAAACAAAGGATTCAAAGGGAGTGGTAGGGACAGTAGATGCCATGCCTGGAGGGGCCTGTGCAGAGGCTCAGAGATGGCAGATAAGACTGTCATGTATGAGGAAGAAGAAGAAGGCCAGCATGACTGGACAGCAGAGAGCAGGAAGGAGATATAATGGGTGATAAGCCTGGAAAGGTGGGTTGGAGTCAAGTCTTTAAAGACGTCTTTAATGCAGCATATCCACAAAGTAGTCAAGATATAAAGGAATGAAACAGTCATTTATATCATATCCTTAATAACAGGATAAATGTTCTCATAATTATATGCATTACATATGATTAAATGTATAAGCTATAACAATATAAACATTTATATAGGGTTTTTAGGTTTACAAAGCATTTTCTCAACAATTTTATGAAATAGGCAGTAGAAGTATTATTATCCTATTATACAAATGAATAAATTGAGACTCGGAGATGAGGAACTTGCTCATGGTACTAAATGACAGAGCCTAGATTCAAACCCAAGTCTCCTGACACCAAGTCCTGTGGTTCATTCTACTATAAAGTTTTCATTGATGAATGATGCCAAACTCCACATCTTAATTTTCTAAAACACGTTTAAAGAAAGTCCAAGCCATCAACTGGAGAACCAAAGGCATTAATGATGTTTTTGTCATTCAGAAATATCGAGTAAGTGAATCATCTGTTAAACAGTGCCTTCTGAGCTCAATAGTTATTGTCAGCTTGACACAGTTCAGCAAGCCAGAGGTGCTAACTAATAAAAACTGCAAAAACTAGTTAAAATAAATCTACCATAGGTGAAAATTATATTATAATATTAACAGTTTCAGACTGATTTCCAAGATTCTGAATCAGTAATGTGAATTTCTTTTAATAAAGCTATGGCTTAATTTTTTTCCGGGAAATATTTTTAATAGGATTACTGACCCTTTTAACAGTCTTGGAAAGAAAATGAATCCCATGAGCATCCTGGCGTATAAGTATTATAACAATAAATAGAACAGTCACTCTTTTTGAATTGAAATGGTAATAGACTTGGGAAACTAAACTTACTAGAGAAATATGCAAACATGTGCAGGATGATAACCACACACAAAACTGATTCTTCTGCATATCAGTGAAGCAACAGAACCCAGTAAGACAAATGAAGGGCTTGTGAAAATGAAAGAATGAGGTCTTTTGGAGCAACATCCTCCTCACGCTGATGGAATGTGAATCAGCCACCTTCGACAGGGGTCAACTATGCTGCTCACTACCCAACCATTGGGTCCTACTTAACTGTACCAGTTTAGCTCTTCAGAAATTTTTTAAATGTTTCAGAAAAGAAAATGAGAGTTTACTAGTTTAAGACATGTTTTTGCACTTAAAACTCAGAAATACTTTGTCCCTTAAGTGGATTTTTTTTTCAGGTCATTAGTTTAAAATGTGAACTAGTGCCTTGGGATATACTGAAAGGAGAAAAAAAAACCAAGCTAGTGTGCTTGGAAGTGCAGTTTATGTGACTTGTGAAATCATTTATTTCAGCTCAATTTTTGCAACAATTTACAGCAAGAATAAAATCAATGTGGATACAGTGATAGATGCCTCTTTCTAGATATGCCATACATATACATATGTCTGACATCAGAAATGTTCCCTAATCCAAGTCACACAGCTTCTTCTCTAACCTCTCTTTGCCTCTAACCTCTCTAACTGTATCATCACAAAGGAAAATTTAACATATGCTTTTCAACGATAATAACCCTCTGTCGGGTCTTTTGAACTTTTAGGTTTGTTGGCAGCCAGAGAGTTTGCTGGTTACATGGCAATGGGTGATACAATGTGAACTGGGTAAATGAATGTTTATAAAATACTCAGAAAGCCTCTACAAAGAGACAACAAAGACAGACCAAGAACTAGAGTAAAATACTTTATTTTCATCATTGTGTTACAATATAAAAGTATCACACTTCAATCTTACCTTTTGAAAGATGAGTAAAAGTATTCAAAAATTCTTCATATGTCTGCTCATGGCAATTAATAAACCGATCCAGGGCTTGTTCAATTAACCGATCTTCATCCATGATCCCCAATCCCAACAACTGAACAGACACATCTATTTGAACAGCCTCTTCATCTGTGATATAGAGATAAAAGAAATATATGAGCTCTAAGACCAAGATACATAATTACAGCCCTTCTGACAACTGTCTGAGTAAGGTATATGAAGAATAACAGACATAATAAGCCAAAGAAGAAATAGAAACGGTTGAGATAGCACAAAACTTAGAAATCAAGAAATGATACATCTCTAAGACTTCCTTGATAATTATCATAAACAAGTCATTTAACTTTTCTGTCTTCAATGTTTTCCATCGAATATCTTCCTGATTCACAAGAAGTTTATGAAACTATTCTGAACACTCCAAAAAGAAATTTGTAAAATCAATACCAAGGGTTACCATTATGAAGCTTTAGGATATTATAAGTGTAAAAAGTTTAGGTACAATATAATCTCTGCCCAAGGGACCTATGCAATAGGAGGGGGAGAAGATGACACTATCAGAAGGCAAAATGTTTCATGACCCCTTGGAAAGTGGACTTAGGGAATGTGTGGACCGTTGGGGACCTAGTATTTAAACATACACCACTGAGAGAAAGTAGGAATCACCATCTCTACCATATGTTTTTCCCACCTCTTTGGTATGATGGGCCCTCTATTTTTATACCTCACTATAGTCTCTGTGCTTTGATGAATATTAAGATTTTTTTATTGCAAAGAAATAAATTTAGAAGTCTAATCCTAAATTCTCCTTTGATAACCAAAAAGTAAACAAAGCTGTTAGGTCTGTGTGGTCCTAGGACTTTAAGATTCATAATATAACCTAAAAAGAAATCAAGGCAATACTCTAAGTCTTTAAGACAAATAGTAGTTAACAAAATGATGGTATTATTCAGTAAGGAACTGAGTTGCAACTAATACGTGTAGCCTAGTATTGAATTGTTGTTGTTATTATCTGTTAACATTAATAGCTCCCATTTGTATAGAATTTTCAATATTGCATTTGCTCCTCCTAACAACCCTGTAAGGTAGTAGTGTTTGTCCTTCATTTTTGAAAAGGACCCATGACATCACCGGATGAAACCTTGACGCAGGATGATTTGGATTTAAGTGAGGCAGAATTACACAAAGTTATCAGCCTCACTTTTTCTCCCAGAGTCATCGACATCCAGTGGCAAGACAAAAGTCAAGATGACTAGCAATGGCCCAGGTTGCAGCAGGTGAGCTTGGTGTCTTCGAGGACTGACCAAGCTCTAAATGCTCCACAGCACCTGCAACAGCTGCCTTCAGGAACGAATTGTTTTTCTCTACCCATTCCATCAGAGGAAGTCTTCACATGCTTGGAGCAGACAACCCCTAACTCACCAATGGGTGTGAGGCCCATCTCTTACCTAACCAGGTTAGGTTTTTAGCCTATTGGCTCAGACAGTGTACCAGGGTGTGGTGGTTGTGCATGCTACAGCTTCTTGGAGCCACAGGTGAGAGATGAGTGTCAGGCAGACACCAAAGGTAGGTAAGCAGCTGTGAAAAAGGCGTGGCAAGTCTTCCCACCAGAGGTGCTAGTCCTCCTTGAACTTCCCCCCCTCCATCTTGAGCCCCCCCATAGAACCATGTAGATTCTCTAAGTATCATTATCCACTTTATAGACAATAAATCTGGGGCACAGAGCTGACAAGGTTACAGTGCTAATAAATGTCAGTTGGAATTTAAACTCAGGCGTTTTCTGACTTCCTTCCACCACACCGACTTAAAATGAAAAGACATGCTAGTAGGGAACTGGTCAATAATCTTTTTTTAAAGATAATTTTAGAGGCATTTGTACATGAAATAAGATACTATCAGATGTATATTATCCATAAAATTAGATTTTTCATCTAGCTATAATTAGATACATTTGTATGTGAATATTTATATATAAAATTTGATACTATATCAGTTATGACTCTAACTGGAAGAATTCTGAAATGCATAATGTAGTAATCTGGGTTAAATGTTTGCTACAGTAATAATATTACTAGAAACACACAAAGATGTCTAATAGCTATCTGTCAGTGAGATATGCTTTACTTAGAATCACAAAATTTTAAGAGCTGAAAAGAACCTTTAAAATTATTAAATTCAATTTCCCCACTTTATAAATACAGAAACCAAAGCCCAGAGAGTAATGGGACCTAACAAAAGTCACCTAGTAATTGGTACCTCTTAAAAAATATGAAGTAAGGTCTAGAACCTGGGTCCACTGCATTTCAGTACAATGATCTTTCCACAAAACCAAATTGCTTCAAGAATCTCTCAATCAATCTGGCTAGTACAAGACAAGATCTCGATGACATACCTTTCTCTGTAACATCTCAGTACCAAGCACCAAACAGAATACCAAACAGAAGCAGCCATATCGCAGTTTATATTGGCTCTGTGTCTCCTTGAGAATGTTTCAAGACCTATATTTTAAATATCTTTAAAAGATTCCTTCCAATTCTCAAATTGAAGTTCACATCATACATCTCTTGCAGTTACTTCAGTGATACTGATAACAAATAATTAACAGAAATTAACTATAAAGCCCATTATAGTCTTTCATTTTATGCATGTAGTTACGACAGAACAAAAGAAAAAAGGAAAAAAGAGAGAGACACAGGGATTTATAATAGCGCTTTTATTGCCTTTTAAAGGCTTTTGGAATATCCAATTTCACAAATGTCACCATTCAAAATGTTTAACAAATACACATCTGGAAATTCAGCACTTTCTTTAAATCTATTAAAAAACAGCCCAATGTTAAACGTCTCCAGGGACTGACAGAGCAATAATCCTTTGCCAGACCGTGCAAGTGGTTTATGCAAATTGTGGTGGCTGAATGGGGGAAGTAATACTCTTTCAGTCACCATTCACTTACTAATGTTTTTAACCATAAGATATTTTTCTCAGAAAAAATGCCTCAGTAGTAATATCTTCTGAGGTCTTTTTGGTAGTGTTCTAAATTAAGACTTCATAACATACTATGTGATTAATATGTGTTAACATTAATACTACTTGAAACTTCCAAGGATGATGCCAAGATGGTGGAGAAGCATTAATCTGAGTTCTCCCAACATTCGCCTCCAAACAACTTTCAAATCATACCTCAAATCGAATTCTGGAGTGGCCAAGCCAACAGAAAAAGTCAAAGTGAGATGTTCTTCTAGCCCAAGATAACACAGGAAGTAGAGAGATCTGTGACACAAGGGTAGAGGCTGGCCCAGAACCCATATGGATGAGTGCGGTGGGACCAAGTTGTGGCGAGAGAAACAGCAGCAGCTTTGGGAACTCACAAGCCAGAAATGGTAAGGGGACCTGGCAACTGGTCAAAGTTTACAAGAGACCCCTTTTTCTAGCACTGGATACAGGATCAGGCCCTTTTTGGCAACCCCATTGCCTATACCCACTACTGGGGTCAGCCCCATGGAATCAGGCACTCTGAGAGGCAGTATCCCTTCTTTTGCCAAGGGAAGCAGGGCCCTCAGAGAGCAATATTGATTGCAGTCCCAAGGGATCAGGGGCCCCTCCTCAGTAAGGACTATAGAAGACCAAGAGAACAGTGACTACATCTGTCCCCAGATCACACCAACATGGATGTACTGAAAACTTCTACCCCCAAGAACTAGCTCTGAAAATAGCAGTATGAAAAAGCCTAAAGATTGAGAGAAAGGCTTTCAACCCCTCACCCTCCAACCACAATCTGGAACAGAGCCCAATGTTAATATAAAATTCGAAATTGAGAAACAGAATAGGAAAATGAGCAAAAAGAAAAAAGGGAGGGGGGGACCTGACCATAAAAAGCTACTATGGCAACAGGGAAAATCAAGACAGACTCAAAAGAAGATAATGAAGTCAAAACAGCTACCAGCCGAGCATCAAAAACAGAAAAACGTGACCTGGACACAAGCCCACCAAGTACTCCTGGAAAAAGCTAAAAACTTATTTTTAAAATCAAATAAGAATAGTAGAGGAAAAATTAGGTAAAGAAGTAAAAGTGGAGGGGAAAAAATTAGAGAAAAACAATTGACACCTTGGTAAAAGAGGCACAAAAATTATTAAAGAAAATAACACCTTAAAAAACAGTACTGGAAATGGAAATGGAAAGAGAAGTACAAAAGCTTACTGAAAAAAAATAATTCCATAAAAATTAGAATTGGGCAAGTGGAAATTAATGACTCTATAAGACATCAAGAAACAAAAACAAAGTCAAAAGAATGAAAAAATAAAAGAAATGTGAAATATCTCATGGGAAAAGCAGCCAAACTGGAAAATAGATTCAAGAGAGATAATTTAAGAATTTGGGGATTACCTGAAGACCATGATCAAAGAAAGAAACTAGACATCACATTTCAAGAAATTATCAAGGAAAACTACCCCCAATATCCTAGAATCAGAGGGTAAAATAGAAATTGAAATCACCACCTGAAAGAGGCCCATCTCAAAATGAAAGCTCCCAGGAATATTACAGACAAATTCCAGAGCTCTGAGGTCAAAGAGAAAACACTTCTGGCAGCAATAAAGAAAATATTCAAATACCATAAAGCCACAGTCAGGATTACACAAGATTTAGCAGCTACCATATTAAAGTAGCAGAGGGCTTGGAATATGATATTCTGGAAGGCAAAAGAGCTGTGATTACAGCCAAGAATAACTTATCCAGCAAAACTGGACATAATCCTTCAAGAGAAAAAAATAGATATTTAATGAAAGAGGACTTTCAAACATTCCTTATGAAAAGACCAGAGCTGAATAAAAAATCTGATTTTCAAATACTAGACTCTCAAGAAGCATAAAAAGGCAAACATGAAAGAGAAATCATAAGGGATTCAGTAAGGTTAAACTGTGTACCGTTTTATACAGGAAGGTAACGTATGTATCATCTAAGAATTTTATCATTGTTAGGTAGAATGGGGAAGGAAGAGGAAGAATAGAAAAAATTATCTCACATAAAAGAGGTATGCAAGGAAGAGCTTTTACAATGAAGGGGGAAATGGTGGGGGGTGGAGGAGCAGGCAATGAACCTCACTCAAATTTAAATTGGTTCAAAAAGGGGGAAA